AAAATGTAATACATCGAAAATTTACAGAAAATATAGTTCTCGTAATCAGTCATATCGTGAGCAGCTATTTTGATCCACCTGGACCTCCCAGTATCCTAGTTACATGTACCTTAGGCATGCGCAGTCACATTGTTCTGTGTTGGGATCCCTTATGCGAGAGGATCTTGGTATCATGTTACGCTACTTGCAAACCCTAAGTAATATACCTCTGATACAGTTAATACAGTGCACTTTTCAAGTTATGAAAGCAGTTATCTATAGCAATTACACAAATTGAATACATCTGTAGTGATGTACAACCTGCATAAAAAAACATGCATAGATTCACTGATGGTAAACATGCGAGTATGAGGAGATTTATGAAAATGAATCACATTCATAAATGTCATTTTATAAATAAATGTTATACCACAAATTGTTGAGTTATACTAGTTTTTATAGTTGATTCCAAAATTCATTGGTGACTACCCACAAGTACTCCATCTTAGTGTGTTATGTAGCTCCTCTTGAGTAGACGATCAGATCAGAAAAACATGCCTGCATGTATATGGTGCATCTGACCACAGTTCCTCAACTGGGGACTGTGATCTGACACATACATGTAATCACAGTACACTTGTTTATTTCGTCTTCCTGGTCACCTGCTCAAAGCTAACGATATACACCTTGGTTGATCTGAAGAAATGCGAGCATGCAGAATCCTGATTCTCACCACTGGCATTTAATTTCAAGTTGGATGTCTGAGCCTTCTCACTTGGATTTCAATTCACGAGTTTGGCAGTAAAACAATGAGTTATATTGCTATTTTACATGTTCACGTGTATTAAATTTGTCTCCGAAAACTCCAACATATACTAGTAGCTCATTTTGATTATTAAAATATGGTAAATCTGAATCAATCCACGTTATACCAAGTCATAACCAGGTTACAAAATATACTAACCACGGGAACTGTAGAATGGCTATTACTGAACTAGTCAGTGATCGTATTAGAATCGTATGTTGCACCATATACATGTGATTGCCTGCATATGATCCTTACTCGTTACAACAGTCCATATACACAGAGACTGTGACTAACCACCCGACCTAGAGATATCGGTGTAAAATTGTACTCACCCTTCAATTACCAATTTGTAGTCGCGTGCTTTTATCTAAATCGCTACTCTGCAGCTGGCAGGGTTCAAATGAGTTCAAAGGTCACCAGAGTCGGGTTAGACCATTCAATTTCTGGGGGTTGGAATGAAGCAGTTATGTCATTATGTGCAGACAACTACCACCGGTGCAGGATGTTTTGTTAGAAGGCAGCTTTTACAATTACGTCATTGTCACGTTGTATTTTCGGCTGATCTGCACTGGCTCGGAAGATGAATTCTGATTGGCTAAAAAAACAAAAAAACTTGTGGCGTTGAATGCACGTTCATTGTCAGTATTGTTATGCAAATTCAAACTAGCTAATCATTTACAACCTTCCGAGCCAGTGCAGATTAGCCCTGTATTTTGGGGGATATATGTATGAGTATCGTATGAGTAACAGCGGATTTAGAAAAAGCGCGCCCTCTGTGCCCCACTAAATCAGCCACTGATTCCAATCTGATTAAAATAAGATCCTAATTTTGTTTTTGTTTTTGTATATTTATTTTATTTTATTTTATTTTATTTTGATCTAGTATTTATTTTTTGAAGCTTTGGTAATTGCGAAAGCCAACAAGAATTAGCCAAGTAGATGAATCACTGATAGTACATTGTATAGGTTTGCTAACACGAAAACATATCTATCACTGTAAAATGAATGAATGACATGAAACCCAACTTTAATGGTTTGCTACCTTTATTGAACACTTTATTGCAAATACAAACAACAAAATGCTAAAACACTTAAAAAAGTGGAACCTACTAATACCATTTATAACAATAAAAGAATTATTACATGTAAATTATTTTCTTGTTTCTGAATTTCCATAGGCGGGTGAGAAAGTTTCGGATTTCTTTTGATTTATTATTTCCCAATCCTCATTCGACTGCCCATAAAGCATCACTGAAGAAAGAATTAAATTTGAAATGAATTCTACCTTGATGCAACGGGTGTATCTCGCTGTTTAACTGCTAACACGTGTGGAATTTTTAAACACAGTTCCTGTGTTCGATAACTAGGGTTTCAAATCTTATCTGGTATT